CAAGTAACAGTGGTAGACATTCAGGCTGACGACATACTCAGAGGATTACAGAGAAATAAAATAGAAGTGTGAACCCCTTTCATGTGACACTACCTTATCAGCCCTCGTCTCTGCTAATTTTTTGTTTCAGTGAGAAACAAACCTCTATAGTGTTGAAATCACCATTGTTTCAGATTCTCTGGTAGCAAATATTATTCTTAACAAGGCACTGGATTTTAATAATTATTAACATAAAAAAGCAACAAAGTAATCACTTCAATTTAAATTTAAAGTGTATTTATACAGCGATCACACCCATGTAATTAATCATATTTACAGTTAAACTTTGCATCCACTCACCAATATCAAAGTTTAAAAAAAAGGCATTTTTAAAGACAACTGATCTCTGAAAGCAGTTCTTTCATAATTAACAAAAATGTGGAGGCTGCACTGCTATCCCATTTTCTTCAAAGTGACCAGAACCTATCAAATGCTCCCTTTATAAATAATCAAAAAAGGATTCTTTGGACTACTCTGCCATCGCTATTTGATGTTGAAAACATTTTTGACGTATTTTTCAAGAAGAGTTAAGCAGCTCTAGAACAACTGGCTATTAGCGTAGCAAAAATGTACTTTGCGTGCACGTTCTTTTGCATTTTACTCTAGCAAAATCCTACCAGATACAAGAAGGAAAGGCCTCCCTATGGTATATTTAACACTAATTCAACATATACTAGCTTCCTTTATTGTAAACCCCTGTTTTTGAAATGTACAAATGAAGGAGGATGAAGAAAGAACATATGATTAATAAGACATTAAGAAAATGTCTTAAAGAAATGAAGCAGAGTTTTAGTTTCTGATTTTTTGAGGGGGGTAAATGCAGCTAATTATCTAAAAAGAATAAGTGCTGCTTACACTGGCATTTTGACGAGCCACTAAATCCTAATTACAATCCCAATTACTGCAGTAATTGGTACAATTTTCAGAGACAATAATAGATTAAATGTGTAGTCTGTACCTATAGTTTTTTATGGTGCATAAAAATTCACTAAGTTGATAGCTCGTGAAAGCAGATTTAATAGCATTAAGGTTAATTTATATGATTCAATTAAGGGCTTCTAAAGGAAAGCACTCATAAATTAAACTGATTTTCCAGTCAGTACATATTCACAGAAGATGCCAGCAGACATAGGTTCCAGCTTCAGCCCTGCCGGGAAAGGAGGGCTGCAAAAGTCCCTCTAGTCGTCTTACAAAACAGACTGCAGACTCAGCAAATGCGAAAGGTCCACATGCCCAAGCAGATAAAGACAGTGTCTGCCCTGGAAGTCACCTTCTTTGATCATCCCAAGTTACTGGTGAAGACATAGGTTCAGAGACATAACATGACTTAGCCAAAGTACACATCTCTGCTGATGGCAATTGTAGTATGAATCAAGGACTCTTCTTCCTTCAGTATCATGTCTCTTTTTTAATCACACAGCCTTCCTACCTTCTCAGTTGGAAAGGAGTGAAGAAGAAGAAGAAGGGAGAGATGGGGGAGGAGGAGGAAATGTAGAAGGAGGAAGAAGGAGAGAAAAAGGGCATCTGGCAATCATTTTTATAGCTCATTTCCACACAGATTAACGAAGCTAGAAAACAGACAATTTATTGATATTCAGTCTAAGGACAGATGTTAGAGTTCAAATCCCCACCAATTACCAAACTGATATTCAGAATCAGGTCTCCAGAGGTGCCTTTAATATTATGCCCATTCTAGAAACCTCTAGAACCCTCCTTATTTGGAGGCAGTAGTGTCTCCCTGCAGTTTAAATAACCTAATAAAGGGAAATCACGATGGTGGCTACCCATCACTGACTTTCTCCTACACATCTTAGCAGATAATAAGTAGATTTAATTATTTTCTCCTCTTAACAATTTGACAACCATTTTATCCTCCTTCTTTCTCAGCTCAAGTTGGAGCATTTTTCGAAGGTTACCACTGCATCAAGTGATGGCAAGTGGGACTGATACCCTGGACACCAGGTTGAACACTTGCTTAACCCACTCACACCACGTAGACCTGCTCTAAGGAGCCTCTTAACACTGAACAGGAATATTTTTTAGCCTTGGTAAGTCAGTGGATTCTCTTTCTACAAGACACTTCATTAACAATGACGTGGCACAATTTTTTTTAAAAAGGTAGTTTACCACAATTAAAAAAGGAAAACTACAAAATTCTACATTTGGATGAATGTATGAAACAGACTGATCCTTACAATGCTGTGAAGTAATAGGGAAGTTGATTTCCCACAGTTTCTCATCAACTCAGAGCCTGAGAGAACAAGTTGACAGACTGAGCAAAAAGAAATACAGAACACCAGCTAAATTTGATTATTGATTAAAAAACAAATACTTTTTTACTGTAAATATTTCCTAAATAGCACATACTTAGATTAAGAAATTCTTCATTAACTGAAATTGAAATTTAACTCACATCCTTTACTTTATCTGGCCACCCTACAGAGAAGTAACTTAAGTCATAGTCTAAAACCTCCATCTTCTTTCTGGCCACCTCAACCATGTGGTGTTACTGCTAGATATTATTATTTAGTCATCTGTTTAGAACTTCTTCCACGTTCCTATTTCAGCTCCCTTATCAACTGATTTTAACCTCAATTATATTCTTTAATTTCTCACACGAAGAGAAATCTGGATTTAGACAAAATTAATCTAGTTGATACTCTTGTAAAAATGCCTACTGCTTCATACTTTCGAAGTACTTTTCATTACATAATTTCACTGATCACAACAACTCTCAGGGGATAAACTGAGAAGTTAGTGTTTCTATTTTTCAGCTTTGAAGACTAACATTCAGAAAATTTAGAAGAACCACTAAGTTTCTCACAGCTAGTAGGGAGATCACTACCTGAAATCCAAATATTGTTATGTGTAAATTCAGTTAAGAAACAGTAACATCTATTCTATTTCCACTCATAATTAAGATAACTAACAAATTTTAAAGGCTATTTTCACCTTTGCTTTAACAGACAATAATCAGGGATGAGCTGTTTTACATAATTTTGGCCTGTATCAAAATGGTAAGGCTAAAATGAGAGAGGAAAGTATGGCTTACTGAGAAATTTTTTTAATCACTTCATTTAAAAAAGTTTTTAAACTTGAAAAAAGTGTGAAATGTGTTGAAAGCATGTCTTAGCATAAAGAGAAATATAGTGGTCCACTTTTAAATTATAATATTATCATAGTGTCTTTGCTAAAGAGACTTGGTTCTATAATAGCATTATTCTCATAAAAAACAACTCATTCAGCCTTAAAAAAGAAGAAAATCCTGCTCTTTGTGACATGAGGGCTGAATCTGGAGGATATTGTGTTAAGTCAAATAAGCTGACACAAAAGAGCCAGTACTATATGACACCACCAACACGAGAAATCTAAAACAGTCAAACTTAAAGAAGCAGAGTAGAATGGTGGCAGGCCGGGGAAAGTGGGAAATGGGGAAGCACTGCTCAAAGGGTACAAAGTTTCAGTTACACAAAATGAGTATGTTCTAGAGATCTTCTGTAGCATAGAGCCTACAGGTAACAATACTACACACTTAAAATTTTGCTAGGAGGCCGTGTTGGGCTGCACTCCGCATGCTTGCAAGCTTGTACTTGCTCACCCTCAAGACTGAAGGAAGTGCCCGGAGTCAGTGAGAGAGACATCAATGGTTCAATGGACAGGAGGATCTTACACGTCTGAAGCAAGGTTCTGGAGCAACAGCCTACCATGTGGGTCAGAGGGTGTGCAGGACATGGTGGCAGTCTTCGCTATGGGAGGTGGTTTAAAGTGATTTTGGTAGCTACAGAGCCATGTAAGGAGGAATACACTTTCTTTACAAAAGTAGGGTGATAACCACCTTTTTCTTACCATGCAGGAGAAGGTAGCAGTGTTATAAAGAAACACTAAACACTGTCCTTACAATTTTATTCAATACCTATTGAATCACGAGGCACTCACCTGGGTAATAGCGGGCCAGGCCTGTGGCACTGCCAAACACCTGCCATAACAATGAAGGATCTTCCTCTCGATTTTTCTTGAAAACTTCATCTAAGGCACTTGTCCAGTTGAGTTCATTTAACACAATTGTTGCTACCAAAAAGAACCCCAGAAAAATCAATTAATTCAAATTTATAATTAATATTTGAACCTGTCTTCATTTATTTGCAAAATAATATTATACATTTTCATTGCTTTACCTATAAAACCATTCTAATTCAGTGGTGATCCAAAAGTTTAGACATGGAATCATGTCTCCAAACAAATGTTTATACGATGGTGGCCTCACTGCCATTCTGGGCTGGGTGATTCTGGGTGTGGGAGCTGTTCTGTGCTTTATACACATGTAACAGCATCTCTGGCTTCTACCCACTAGATGCCAGGACCATCCGCCCAGAGGTGGCAAGCAAAACTAGCCCAAGACATTGTCACATAATCCTGGGGGGGGAGGGGGCAAGACTGCTTCCTGTCGAGAAACACTGTGATAGATAAGACAAGAAACAGCAGAGCTCTCCCGGCTGCGAAGGAGCAGGAGGCACCCCTCCCACCGAGGCAGCTCTGAAGAAATCTACAGGACACCTCAGGACACAGTCTGTTCACTTCCTCCCACACTACTGATGGTTCTCTGTGATTTACTAACACAGTTAGATCTGATACCTAAATTAAAAAAAAAAGTAGATGTTTGTCACTAGCACAGTCTATTAACTGTTTACACAATAAAAAAGTATACATTTTGATAAAGACAGTCTAGACAGTGTGGGGGGTAATTTCAATTAACGCCTTTGTTTGGGTCTTTCCCCCTCCTAGAATGTCTAACAATAAAAATGGCTGTAAATCTGTCCAAAAAAAAAAAAGGCTCATTCAGAGGCTTGACAATATCAGTATTAGAAATAAGAATTAATCAATATCATATTATTACCTTTATGAACAATAATTGTCACTTTTTCTAGTTGGTTCAACTAAATGCTAATAATAAAGGGCAGGTCATTGATTTCGATACCTACTTATAATGACTGACTGACCTTGAATAGATATCACAAACATACGCTATTCATTACAGTGAAAGAGGAACAATTCTAATGTGGGATATAACAAGGGCTGAAATAGAATGCAATTTAATTGATAATGATGGGTCTCCATGATCATAGCATCCTATGTCTAACGTACTAAACATTTAACTGACTTAGAATATTATTTTCCCTTTACACAAAAAAGATGACAAGGTAATCTCATCTTTTTTGGAGGGGTCTTTATATGTAAAATGTATACAATGCTCCCAGCACATTAGCAGATTGGGACACTCTGCATTTGAGAATCTATGACCAAGGCAAAGCAATGGACGTGAGCTTGGAAGAGCAACTGGAGGTGCTGCTTCACTTTTTCTACTCTTTTTTGTGACCACAGCAAGTAAAAGAAACAAATGCAATCTCAATTAAATCATGCACAAGATCTTTTAAAGGTAAAAGAAAACACAGCTTCTATCAAGAAGGATGCACAGCATATGTGTTTATATTTTAAAGTTTCTTATTTACCAAAAAATGAAAACAAGTATATATGCTGTGAAATTGTTCTGGGACCAGAATCCTACTGCATTTCTCATTATTGAAAACAAACAAGATTTCCATCTCTATGGATGCGATTACTTTCAAAAAGATCAGTTGTGTGTGTGAATATTCATGAACTGGGTCAGATCCATAGTGCACCTGAGATACTAGTGAATTCAAATTCAAAAGCATGATCCAGTGAACACTGAGTGGCCAGTCATATGAAAATTTATATTCACATAGATAACCTGAACTGATACTCACTGCTCATGGATATTTATTTCACTATGCAAAACAACATAGAAAAAGAGGGATGTCTTACTCTTCTTTACACATTCATGAATTTTATAGTAATATACTACTCAACAAATAATCATGTTTATTTATGCTCCAGATAGTTAGAATAGATTGGGGATTAATGAAGTCTATCTCTTCAATTTCCTTGACTCTAATTCACATTAAGCAACAACTGATATCTAATTATTTTTAATAGAGATATACTTGTTTCAGGGCTGCTAACTTTTCCCTTAGTTTTATTTGACAACAACCGCTACTTATCAGGCTCTGATACACTGATCATGAATTACACTTTTGTGTACTCAGGGAAAAAGTCAAGCTCTGAAATCTTATCATCATGGCGATACGTTTTGAAATTGCAATTTATACATTAAGAAATTCTTTTCCAGATAAGACACAGCAAAATGTTTTTCTCAAAACTTGTTCATCTGCAAATGAGCAAAGTATTTAAAGAATCTGCAGAACAGACACTTGAAGTGATTTTACATTTCACTCAGAAGGAAAGAAACGTGTTGTATACCTACCATATGAGCAAGGTTTATAAATTTGATGATTGTGTGTATCAAGGAGTGAGGATAAAGATACTTCCATTTGTCAGTATGTTTATAAAGACTTTGAGTGCAATCATTATTCTAACAGCCACAATTTTTATTTAAATGTCCAGACCAAGAAATCCAAATTCAAAGGCTCTGTCACAGGAGTGCAAAATTAGTGTCCCTCTTTAGAGAAGAGTTTGACTGTTAGATAGATTTGTCTATCTAAATGCACAGTCTTTAATCTAACAATTCTACTTCAAGGGATATATACTATGGATAGCAGAGATCTCCAGTCCTGAAGCAGAGAATTTTACACCAAGAGTCAATTAGGCTGTTCAAATTTTTGACAATAGTAAAACTAGAAAGTAAAATAAACTGCTGCACTAGGAAATAATTTTTCTCAAATTATATTGAAAGCAGCCAAAAATGTAAAAGAACACATGTAAAACATCAAAGCAAACCACTACGAATATGATTTTAGACCCCTCTTGGCGTTTTGGCTATATTTTTTTGTTTCACATTATAAATTACATCTGATTAATGAACATATATTATTTTCATATCCTACAATAAGCAGATGTTTATCTTCTTAACCTTGTAAAAAATAAACAGCTTATCCAGAATTACTAAGGTGTCAAGCATTTCTCCATTTCTGTTATTAGCATAGCTCAGGAAAAATAACACTGAAATAACTAGGTCATTTGCAGATAATGGCATAAAAAACAAATGCAGAATACAGATCATGCTAAAACAAGTTTATGTCATTTCCTGAAACTACCTTCTTCCCCTACTACTTTCACTATATTTACACACACAATTTTTCTTCTGTCTTATTTAAATTTGTAAGTAGAGTTTATTTAGGAAGACGTTTTTAATTAACTGTTCTAGCTACAACTGGGTAAGAAGCCAGGTGCGCTAGCGAAGTTAATAGTTACGAGGAGCTCTTTGGCTTTTTTATTACAAAGAGTTTCTGTGGTTAGGCTGGTGCCTCTCTCTGGCTCTACCAAGTATTTTTAGTCCCTCCACTTTTCCCAACACCATGGTACTTAAAATAAAATGAAAGGTACAAAATGTGATCCCCTTCCATAATGGAACAAATAAGACCAGTTCCTCAGAAAATTATTTTCGGCAACTACTACTCTGGATTATGAAACTGTATTGCTTATCTGCATAACCTGTGGCACTCTGACTCACTAAAGCTCAAAGGTTATAGGTAAGTTTCCACTTGTCATGGTACATGACGAAGACTTTTAAAATTCAACTGTTTTTCTACAAAGCACAATCCTTATATGAAGGTCCAGAGCAAGAATTCAAAATTCAAAAGACTTTTATTTAATTGCAGACACATTGGTATAAACTAGTAGCCAAATACTGTTTCATATAATTCCAGAATAAATTATCTTTTTACAAGCACTCAAGATATTTCTTGGCCCCTGATAAAACCCTACCTTTCATTTGGACAGATATACTCAAGAACATGGACAATAGCTCTGACTGCTTCTCCATAAATTGTTTGGCAGTATTTTAAATTATACTGTATTTTATTTTCTCAATTATATATTGCCTATGTATTGCATTGTTTAATATACTGTATTCACCCGTCTCCTTCTTCTCTCCTACCTCTTAAAAATAGTAATGTTTTACATTCACACAAAATTCTAATTTCTTGCTTGCATGGAGACTAGAAGTACACGTGTGGCTTATATTCCTTTCACTGTACAAGACTAACAGGTCATGGATGATCTAGCCTTGAACCTACCGCCAGCTATTCAGGAACTTAGCTAAATGTCTTACAGCTTCTTTAAGAGTATAATTAGTCCTCACTTTCTGCTGACTTTTAAGGAATGAAGATTTTTATCTTTGTTAGAAAATCAGAGTTTGTGAAAAAAATTCCTTCCTAGTAGCCAAGGCTAAGCCTACTAAATGCAGTGACTGCTGGGACAGCAAACCTTGACTTGGGGCCTCTGTTCTCAACGGTATGACAGGATATCACTGGTAATTGATTCAGAACGCCAAGCCTACGTCTCTACTCTTCTCATGCTGAGTTTTCAAAAACATGGCCTTGGCATTCAACAATTCTCTTTTAGAGGATTCTTTTGTTCAATCTGGCTTCTCAAGGGAAGAAAGAAAAATCTAATTTGTAACAGCACAAAAGAAGCATCTTACATTTGCTGCTAATTCTTCGAAAATACACTTCTCTCTGTATCTCACTTATGACTTGGAAACAATTGTTGACAAGTTCAGAATCCAATTTTCTCCTGTAAATTTCAGCCCAGGATGTGTCGCGCTATTGCTCCCTTTTAAGTTCGAATACATTTTATTAATTTATTCAGGGTTGCAGGCCTCACCATGCATTGAAGGCACTATATAACTATTTGAAAAACCTTAAGGTTATTTATGATGTCAACTACAGATTTGGAATGAAGTGGAAATATGCTAGAAAAAAGAAGAAAAACATACTTCTTATGACTTACTTAAAATGTAAAATAACTTTGCTAAGATTGCATCAAAAGTATATTTTTTAAAACATAAAATAGTTTCAACATGTCTTTAATAATATCTGTACATACTAAAGCTATGTAAGGCACTGAAGGCTGGAAACTATTTTAAACAATACTAAATATGATACAATAATTAAAACAAGAGAACTGTGCAAAATGTTTACTACACTATTTCCTTTTAATAACACCATTCTATTATCATAGCCTTGCACTGA